TTACCAGAGGAATTGTTACTGTAAAACAAAGTAATTCACATCTTTTTCATGAGGAAAGCCATGTATATAGGAAATACTCGCACAATACATGAAATTGTTGAAGATACTCTCAAAGAAGACAGATATAAACAATGGAACTTTGAAGAGTTTATTACGATGGCTACATGGAAGCCCAAAGTAAACAACCAACTTATTCCACGTTTTATAAGACGTATGAAAGAAAAAAATAATAGGAATCCTGATCCTGGTGAACGTTTTAGCTATGTGGTTGTAAAGAATGATCGTTATCGTGATGAAAATGTCGGTTAATACCACGAAGAAATGCTGACTATATGGAATATTCAGATATTGCAAAAAAAACTTAATAAAGAAATAGATATCAATTACTACTTAGGAAGGGCGATGGGTTTATGTGCACGGAGATGAGAAATACCAACCACCAAGTTCTCATAAGATTATGAAAATCAAGGATAAAGACCAGAGAGAAGAACGAATTGATGATTACTCTCAAAATGAAGCTAAGAAATGGCTTACAAAATATATCAAAAGTTCATGCTAAAGGAAAAATTATTATAAAGACATGACAGTTTTATTGAAATAGTATCTTACTAATGCCCCCATATTGGCGTTGCTATACAATAATAATTATATTTTTATATAAATAAAAAAATCTCACTTCAAATAGATGACAATTTTTCAATAATATAGAGGTATTCCATCTTCACGTGTATTAATATTTTTTATTTTTTCTGGTTATACCTCGATATTACAATCCATATAATATAAGCGATAAGTAATAGGATAAATATATAAAATATATATCCTGAACCCAATACACAGGGGAGAGAAGCAAAGCTTTGGGTCTCTGACCCATCGCTTCTATTCCTCTAATTGAAATCTCAGGATTTGATGTGTCAGAGACTCGAGACAAAAGATTACTATAATCCTTTTTATTTCAGAAACGTGAATATGAGTGGCACTTTTATTTTATTTTTCTACATTCTTTTTATGTACTTAATGAGTATTCCAGCTCCACTCTTTGAGTTATTGTCCCAAGAATTTATTCATCTTTTTGAGAATCGTTACCTCCGCCAATTGTTTATTTAAAGATAAATTTTGAGATTCATCTTCCGATTTTAATTTTTCTAGCTCCATAACTTTTAAGCTCAATTCATTATTCATATGTTCCAATTCAGATAATTGGATTTGATAGATAGATTCTCAGAATCTTTTGTTATCGAATTTTTTTGGGATAAATTTAACTTGTCTTCCAAATTCTTAATGTTGTACTGGTGAAACTTTTATTTGAGCATCATATTTAGGTTTGTATTCAGTATGAGAAAATTGCTCACGAAAAAGTTGGGATGAAAGATTAGTATTTTCTATCTTTAACCGTTTAACTTCATCGATAAGTTGTATAGCAGTGTTATGGTGTTTCTGAATTTTTAAATTAGTCTGTTTTAAATGGCGATTCTTTTCTTGGTCGGAATATTTATTCAGTAATTCAGAATATTTGTCCTGTTAATTTTTTTATTACGAGAATTTAATCACGATTTGTCACGCAGATCGGGTGAGTAAATTTTCTTCTATATAATTTGAGGGATCGACATCCCATTATTTATATCTGTTTACAGTAATTCTATGCGATATCTAAAAATGCCTACATATTCGGAACCAGCGTCACCTTCAAGCATATACTCTAATGAAGAAAAAATAACTCGTACCATGGGAGATGTAATAAAGGACTATAATACCGAAGAAGAGATTTAAAACTTAAATAAATTTCATTTTGAAATTTTTCGTCGAAAAGAAATAATTGGTTGTGACTTCCTTGAATTATCCAAGGATGATTTTCAAAATATTGGTTTTGCATTCGGTCCAGCTACGAGGTTGGCAAATTTGTTGAAGGGCTTAATGAAACAAAATTACGAAGTTTCTCATCATATAAAACAGTAGATGAGTTAAAGGAGGTGCTTTCGTAAATATAAAGTTAATGGGAATAATATTATAAAGATAAAACAATTTAACCCAAGTAAGTTTTTTGTTAGAAATGGTTACAGGTGACTTATTTTTTCATCAATATAACTAATGTTTTCTTAAAGTTTTCGAAAAAATCGATGACAATGATGAGGCTCTCAAACAACGTGTTGCAGAGATTACAGTACATTACGTCTTGCACAGATAAAATCAATGATAGATGCCAATGAGGCAACCCGGTATACTCTTATTGAATCAATATTGCATGCATCAATTGCCATTGCAAGAAGGGAAACCAATAAAGAAATAGATATTGAGTATCGGTTGGATATTTCCGGTGAAGAAGCAACAGGTCGAGTGGATTATGCGATTAAGATCTTTTATGTATCACTGAAGGGAAACCACGAAATATAAAAATAGGATATCTTCAGGTATCACTGCTTTGCTAAAATAAACTCAATTATTAATCTCGCTGGTTATACCAATAATAAATCTTATTTTCAGAATATAAAGCAAACTTGAAAGCTCTTTCCACGAAAACAAAAACGAACAGCTGGTCAAGCATTTAATAATAATGGATATGATTTTCTATGCGGTATCGTTTCCACTGCTACGGATTGGCATTTCATTATGTTTGCGTCGGACGGATTATATTGTACAAGTAAAACAGATTACCAAATAGACCTCCCAAAAAATGCACTTAAAGATGGGGGCAAGAAAGTTTGCGAGATAGTATAAAATAAATTATTGGGATAATTGTTGGATTGTTAAAAGATAGGATAATGGCATGTGATGAACCTGAAAGTAAAAGGCGACGTGTACAAGAAAAAATAAAACAATAGATAAATTCTTATTTCTGTATTTTTACCCGTGGTAGCTCCGCTGTTAGTAATAGTTATTCACCAGGATGCCATATATATCATCGGCGATAGCCGTGGTGATTAATGATATTGAGGCTAAATCGGTGAATAACTGTTTATATCATGGAGCCTAACGTCCCGTGATTTTAAATAAAATCATAACTTGATATATCACGGGTAATATGGCATACTCACAAATTAAAGTGAAAGTGCAGATATTCAATTATTTGACGGCTCCAGCAAGACAACGAATCAAAGCATACAAGTCATCTTGCTAAAACATTTTTTCATGATAATGTTTTAAAAGTTATGGACTGGCCCTCAACCGGTTCGACTTAAGTTCTAATGAAATGTAGAGACAAATGCTACAAAAGCTTAATGAATTAGAAAAGATTTATGGTGGAGTGGAGTGTTATCACAGATATCGTTTGTAAATTCAATGCAATGATGTTATGAACTTATTATTGGATGCAACGGAGAACTTATATATTTTTTTTGTTACAGCATAACAAATGATATTATATTTCATCGTATATCGAGATATTAAAAAAATTAACGCCAGCCTTTTTTAATTTTAGCCTAGTAATGAATTGTCCAAGCCTAACGTCAAATTTTGAATGCGAACATCTAAGACTTGAATTGTTAACTAACCTTTCGAATAATCTCCACATGAGCATCTGAGAAATAATAAATAACATTTGAAATGAAAATCTTCTAATCTGCTTACAGCTCTTATGTTTAATAGCTTCATACACTCAATATCTAAGCGTTTTTAGATTTTTAATAATTTAATATAAGAAATAAATAGCGAATCAAATATTGGTTATAATTCTCATGGAAGAAAAGATTAAGACAATTTTTGCCGCGGATTCGAGAATTCTACCATTTGTACGAACTTTCGGCATAAGGAAATATAGCAATCGAGTACTAGAAAAGTATTTCCGGCAGATTACAACACATCTAGATCTATTGAAGTCTAGTCTTCATTGAGAAATTCTCATTCGTTTTATTAATTTCACAACATACATTTAATCTGAATGTCATTTTGATTGAATATAAAAATAAATATCGATATGCGTATTACTCCGGCGCATCCAAGCCCACTACCGGTTTGATTATCATTACTTAACGCTAGTAATAAGCTAGCCAATCTACTTGATTCTCTTCTGTTTCAATGTTTTGCTCAATAGTTGAAATAAATTCCTTTGCACAATTTAAAGCAACTTTGTTAAACACGTCAACGGGATCATCAGTAAAAGAATTATTGATCGTATTAGTATCTGATAAATATTCTTCATAATTATAATTGTCGTGAGAATTTCGTAGTCTTTATCAGGATCGCTATGATAATAGTCGTCGTCAAGTAGATTATCCATCAACTATTATTTTGTGTTACATTATTGTTATTATGAAAAAACTGTTTAAATAATACTTTGACTCGAGATTCTTTTCGAACTAATACTTCTGTAACTGTAAAAAACGGATTAGAGTAACTCTTATCTTTCAAACTTTCGATTTTATTATGAAAAAATGAAAAAAAATGCATATATACAGAGCAAGCAAGCTATAACGTAAAGGATTTCATTTCAGTTTTTTATATATAAAAAACCCTGTATACATGTACAAGGCAAACTCGTTAAGACGAAGCCACGCTAAGCCGAAATTGCATTAAGACGAAGTTTTTCTGGTTTACCAAATTTTTTATTATATATAAATTCGGCTTAGTGCGAAATTTAGTAAAACGAAAATCTCGATAAGCCGAATAAATTATCTATGCCGACCATCGTCTTATCGAGTTTGCCTTGTATCAATCGTAAAGTACATATACATGAACAAGATGATCGTTAAATAATATTATCAATTAGAGACTACCAGTTTGGGATAGACTTATTTTACCCCATTACATGAATTAGAATCTGGAACGATAAATTTTTTTATTGGTTTATTTATTTATAACCAGTCACGTGGCGCGACAACCGGAAATCCCACGTGAAAATCAATTTTTCACATATCAAAGAATAATATATAGTCCTTCGCTTACGCGCCGGACGATTATCAAAAAAATTATTAATACATGTAGTATTTAACTTTTGATTAATAAGTAAATTATATTTATAATCAACACAAATTGAAAAAGACAAGAATAGAATTTATAAAAAAAACTTATAATATAAATATCTCTTGTATGTTATTATTTTCAATAATATTTTCATTTTCAATATTAACTTGTTCATTAATTTCTTCAATTATTATAAATAATTCTGCTGGATCTAATGTAATTTCTAATCCTTTTTTTGAATCACTTTCATTTGAAGAAACTAAAATTGTACTGGTTTCAAAAGCTTGTTGAAGACGTATTTCTTTAACTTTCCAATCAATAAATAAATGTTTAATATAAGAAGATTGAATTTCGATGTTTTTAATTTCCAAGGTACAAAATGCAACATCAGGAAGAAGAATACCATGGTTGGTAAATAAGAAAAAGCCATCTTGATTAAGTTTTTCAACTTCCAGAGAATAGGTATTTGATTTGTTATATTGATCACTAATGGACTAAACAAAAATGAATTTAGATTTTATCTCAAATAAATGAAATTCTAAAATACATACCAATTCAAAACTGAAATCATTTCTTAATTCTTGAAGTACAAGTTCAACGATAGTTGTATTCCATATACGACAAGTTCTTCTTAAGATCCATAAATTTGTAAATCTAAGAAAAAAGAATGTGAGTTTTTATAAGTATAAAAAAGTTGTAATTTTATCGATTTACCCTTCCATTTGTAAAACATGATGAAAAATTTTTTCTAAAATTTTAGGTTGTTGAGAAGACATTGTAAGAAAATGATGGTTTTAAATTTTTGTCTTTAAATTTTCCCTCAATTAATAAATTTTTTTTGACCGTTTCTAGACAACTTAAAACTACACGAAAATGAAGAACAAAAGTTCATATAACTTATATAAAATAACCATTCACCTTTTTTTAGAGGGAATATTGTTTATTAATCGATAAATCTAATTAATCTTTGAATCACATAATATAGGAAAGATTTATAGAAAAATCTAAAATAACGAACACAATATCAATCACGCAAAAAGGAATATTACTCTAATTACGATATAATCGGAAAATTTTATTCATTAGGGAATATTAATTATGATTATGCATGTGTTTTTTCGGTTTCAATCAGATAAATAATTAAATAATCTGATCTATCGGAGAATTTTAATCTCGGAAAATTATCTACGATTAGGGCAAAAATGACGATTTATATTTTATATTTTATTTTCCTTTTTTTTTTAATATTGATTTTTTATTATTATTAATAAGAATACTTGATTAATTTAAAATTTACAATAATGCTATTGGTTCATAGTAATTATGAGTATGATATGTTGTATTTAAAGGGAATTTCTTGAATAACTAAACGAATTACAAATGTGAAAGTAAATAATATTGTGGAACCTACATCCAAGTGTTGTTTTTATTTGATAAATTCTATTCTTAATAGATAAATAACCCATCAAATTCCTTCTCATGATGAAAAAGTTCATGTTATTCAAACCTAGGTATTCAACAGAAGATTAGAAAGTTTTGTAATACTGATTTTCGCGATTGTAAGGTACAATTCTCTTTAATAAATATTTTCCTCCTATATATTCGTTTAAAAGCATATTTAAACATTCACTTAAATTGTATTAATATTATTTGCAACTTTAATTCATTATTTATTTCCCAGCATTTCACTTTATACGTATACATGCTACAGTATCTGGAGGCATTACGAACTATAATAAATAGCAAACATTTGTAATGCTAATAATAGAATGAATCGTGATCGTGATGAATCTAACTTCTATCATGCATTATCAAATATTTTTAACACGCTAACGCATCCACAGTTTAATGTAAAATAGGTTTCAAGAATAAATTCTTTTATTCTCTTCTAACCTAATCCATCCAACAAAAATTACTTTGACTTTTACTATTTCGGTTAACCTCATATGTACAGTCGTCTCAAAAAGTAACGCCCAATCTGTATGTGTAACAAGATAAATAACTCGTTTCCCCCTTTTTCAATCTCTTCGTCAACTTCACCAAAACACTATAATAAATAATTTTTATGTGATTATGACATCCATGCGTACCCAGA